TTTCCTGCTGAACTGCTTCTGCTGCACTTTGCCTGTTTCACTTCCCTTCCAAAAGAAATGACTGCAGAGTAAATACCGGACCAGAACAGTGTGACTCCCCGCCAGGGTTAAATCTGACCACAGAGCCTTGTGATTTTACCCAGCTTCTGATTTCACCAGCAATGGCTTCCAGTTTTGAGCTGAAGTGTGTTTGCTGTGAGGAGAGCACCCAAGTTTTCAGCTGTGAGTTCTCAATAATATGCAAAGAAGAAGATAACCTGTGCAAACTATCTACTCTTCTGAGCTGCAAAACTGTCAGAGAAGGGTAATACTACGTTCAGAGTGGTTTGCCCTTGCTTTTTCAGGTCCTCATTTTATTATGAGGACTGGAAAACCACTTTGTATGTGTGAGAGAGCTCAGCATAATAACAGTGGAAATGACATGACTATTATTATTTCTGTGCTGGAGGTGGTTGTGGCTCTGTTAAAGTGTGGAGCTCTCTTCCCTCCAAAGCTTTAATAAAACCAAGAGGGAAGAAGAGCAACAGCTTGTTGCATTACTCTGTGAGCTGTGGGTTTGGTTGGAGGGTTATGTAAGGGCATGTGTGCATACAGCCAAGGTGCATCATGCAGACACCCCTGAACAGTAACACCCAAATGTGTGCCTCTGGCCAGAACCCCCCAAAGGCTATTTGCTAGCCAAACAATTTGCAGCAGGAGCGCGTGGCATATATACCAACCTGCCAGCTGCCCCAGGTGAAGGGCTTACATCAAAGAGAAGCAGCTGGAGCTGTGACACCCCCAGCCTGGGCTGATGGGGACAGAGCCCCTGGCAGCTCACAGGCCCTGGGCCGAGGGCAGCAGCTGCTCCTCTGCTGCTGGGGGCTCCTGCACAGAGCAGATTCCAACCCTCTGCTTTGTGCCTGGCTCCCACAGGTGTAAATGGCTGCACAGAGACCCGGGGCCTGGCGTGGAGGAGAGTTATTGCAGTGAGATGAAGGGCAAAGAGAAGACAGCAGCTTCAGCACAGCCAGGCAGGCAACAGAGCTGCTGCCAGGGCCCAGTGAGAACCTCCAGCCTTGTCAGCCCCATCCCAAAACACAACACTGGGAGTCTCACTGCTGTCACAACAGATAGCCTTTAGGAGGGACTCAAAGAAAGGACAGCAGTGGCTTTACCCCCTTCTTTTTTGGGGGATTGTATTTGGTGTGAGGACAGCATGGAAGAACACATGAAGTTACTTGTAGAAAACCAAATATTACCATGACTTGGGCTGGTACTGCTGAAGCTGTGGAAAGGCAGAGGCAAAGTGCTCAGATGGAGAATAAGAAGGGCTGAGAAATGATGAGTTTAAATGAAAGCCTGAATCTGAAACGTGTGTAGAGGAAGCAGCTTTTGAGAGGGGCAGGATGGTCAAACCAAGCAGGAAAGGAAGAGTTACAGGGACGGGGGCCACAGTGACTTCTGTCACAAACAAACTTCATGGAAGTATCACAAACACGATCTTTCTGAGGAAGAAGATGCTGTGTTACAGACTAAGCATATTGAGATCCTAGGAAAGGACACGATTTCACAGACCACTATCAGAAATGCTTACTCTGCAAACTTCAGCTTTAACTAGGAAAAAAATCAAATGCTGTATGATTGCAGACTTATTTACAGACTCTTTGATTACCGAATTATATTCAAATGTTTAACCTGTAGTAGGAAACATTCTGTGTTAGAAAACTTAAACAAAATTTAGAGTTGAGGGTAGAGGCTTTTTAATTTTTGACAAAAGTAGCAGGTGTTCTACTTCTCCAATTACTTTTCTGGTAATTAGAAATTCATTCTTGAATAATATACTTTCACTTATTCATAGTTTCCCAATTAGAGTGAGGGTGAAAAAAACATTTTGCCATAATCTCCTTAATGAAATCCAGTCACCAAACTTTCAACATGCAGTTTTCTTGCTGCAGTGAAGTCAGCTATTGGACAGGAGTGACAAACTCTACAATAGGTATTTCAATTACTGATAATACAGTAAGCCATATTCAGAAGGAAAAATTACAGTTCAGGAGACACGGCCCTCCAAAAACACACTGCAAACCTCCCGACATTTTTTATTGCAATTTTAAGATCAGTTTTGGAGGACACCTTTCTTAATCAAATACCATTGCTTTTAAAGATTAGTGTTCACAGCCTAATCATGCTGCACTTAGCTTAATTTGCTTTGCTATGGTCTCATTAAATTCTTTCTTTTGGTCAGAAACCCTGCCATGGCTTGGCAGAGAAACAGGAAATTTCTTCTCCATGTTGGAGGGTTGTGACTGCTCTTTCATTTTAACACACAGACTGGAGAGTGCTGCAGCAAATTACATGTGGGTCACCCCTTCCTTCATATGTAAGGAGCTCACAACCCCTCAGAACACTTTGTCAGCTGGACAACTGGGACAAAAGGGAGAAAAATAATCCTTGTGTCAAAAATGTCTCAGATTGTAATTTTATCACTTAGATCTAAAGTTTAATTTTAGGTTACCTGAAACCTCAATGGCAACAATTCCTACAACTGATTGTTGAGGTTTCTTTTGTCCTATCTCAGCTTGTGATACATTCAGCGTTTGGTGGTCAAGAAGAGACTTTCCTGAATTGCTCCTCTCCTTTGTGCTGAGAAAGTGCACTTGGGGAACAACCTGGCAACATTACCTGTTATTTGATCTGGAATCTGTGAACCAGAGTAAAGCACAAGCAATAAATAGTAGAGGTTTTGCACTATTGTTTTGTTGGCAGATGAGAAATGTAAAAATTTCTTTCCTCACCAAAGTCTGGAAGTCCATTAAAAAGTTGTGAGCAGATGTTTCACAATCATCCCTACACCTGCAGGAGTATGCAGAGAGATGTGGTACCTTGCAGTCTCACCTGGGCCCATGGAATGTGTCTCCTCACCCAGATGGTGAGCAATAAGGAGTATTTTAATTGCTGGATGAGCTGCTGGCAGGGATTAGATCTAACTAGACACCTCTAGTGCTGTCACAGACTTCACCTGCAGCTGAACTGAACTAAGAAGAAAGTCAAACTCTTTCCTATCCTTGGCTCTTCCAAGGAAACCTATTTGCATCCTGCACCAGAAAGGCACGAACTGGCTTTCAGAGGTAAGGCCCACAAGCACATGTGCAGTCAGTAGAACAGGCAGAGCTACACCTTTAGCAGCACACCTTAAAATAGTTGACTTGAGCACAGTGGTGCAACCATGGCTTTCGGTAGTGTACCTGTGTTCTGGACATGCAGGGCAATGCACTCACATGTCTTTCCATTTTCTGTACTAGCCATTGTATTACAGAGATGCTCATTTAGAGGTAATCTGTACATGTTGGCAAGGAACTACTTCTGCCAGTAAAGCCAATTTGCTCCTCTAAATGGAGCAAATGGAGCATAGGTTCTCTCTGCTTGAGATGGATTGCCTGAGAACTTTGTTGGCAAACTTATCAGATGAGGATTCTGAGGGAAAACCTCCCTTTGGATGAATGGGTCATGATTTTAAAGAGTACTAAAGAATACTTGAGAGGTTTTTGTACCACTAAACCCTACATTATTTACTATTCTGGACTATTTTTTCTTGAAGAATTTAACTGCATAATATTTGCTGCTAATGCTGAGCTCCCATTTTAATTCAAGTATTTAATGAAAATTTTCCCTGTGATTATTTGCTCATTACTGCAGGTAAGTTCTAAAAGATTTTTTTTTTGGTTTATTCTTGATGCATTTAGTAAAACTGGACTCACATGCTTTTATCAACTTTTGAATTGCAATAGTTTGGAGAGAACACACTGTTAACTTGAACTTTGCAACGTTTGACTTTATGAGCTTTACTTATTATACCAATAGTAGTTTGATTAATTGGTTTCTACCTGCAGCAAAACTCTCTTAGGGATTTGCTTAGGTAAAACCTGTGAGATTTTTCTATACTTGAAAAAGAATACAATTAGATTTGCAATTGTTTAGGACAAACTGCTTTCAAATAGTATAGGTAATATGACAGAAAAAATGGTAGTGGGTACCCAGCTCCGAATAAATATTTTTAAAAGATTAGAATTTAAAAGAATTAAGAAGAATTCTTAATTAAAAATTGCTAAGAATAATTAAGAATAAAAATATTTTTTAATTACAAAGAATTATGGAAATCAATTTCTTTCACTATTTTTGAGCTCCAATATTACTTATTCTTTAAAAATTTAACTTGCAGGACTTCTACTGTTGGGGACTTGAACTAGCCTAGATGAAGATCTTCTGTCTACTCATCAGTTACAGATGTTAATTGGGGTGAGGGTCATGATACTAATCAGTTGCACAAATGACCTACATGTGGAAACAAATAGATGAAGAATATTTCCAGGTCACCACCAGCGGTAAATATTGCTCTGTTAAATATTTACATATACAGATGGAACATTGCTTGTTTGTTTTGGGATTTTGGTTGGTTGGTTGATTGGTTGGGCTTTTGCACTCCAGAAAAAAAAAAAAAAAAAAAAAAAAAAAAAGCCAACAACAACACCACAAAAAACACCACCAAAAACTCCTGCATTTGAACAAAAGTGATTGAAGGGAGAAGAAAAACCATTTTTTCCCCCTATTTCATGACAATGCTAGCAGGAATTACTACGTTAAAAAAAAAAATCTGCTGGTGTGTGCTTCCTGTTCCAGTTTGTTTAGTCACAAGTCTGAATTAGGTCTCTCTGTTGGTCGGTTTCGTTTACTATAAACAGGTCTTGTGCTTTGTTTCAATACATCAAAGCCCTTAGCCAGGCGCAGACAGGTAAGGTAAAAGGGTGTAAGAAAGTTTACAGTCTTGCTTCATTGTTTCTTTAAGCGTTCCAGACAACGGTCAGAGGGATCACACGAAGTTTAAAAGAAGGCTTGGTTGCTGTTTTTCTGTCTATGTAAACTGGTTTCTCTTTTGTTCCTTTTCTAGAAACCACATGTAACTTTAGGTCAGAAAAGTGTAAAATGTGGCACTTCTCAAACCAGCGGTACGGCTGCCCTGGGGTAACCCGATCAGGCAAAGGTGCAGGCTCCTCTCCCTGCTGCGCTGATGCCTGCTGCCGTCCTTCAGGTGAGTACCGCAGGTTTATTTTCTTTCCAAATATCCATCCACCTGAAGGAGGCAGATGGCAGAGAAGGGTATTTTTTCACGACTGACACTGTCAAAGAAAAACCCAACTCACTGCTTTAGCCCTTTAGAGATAAATGCGAATCACTCCATCCCACAGTATTTTCAGTAAAGTTGCTCTAAAAGTTTGCTTCAAGCCCTTGCATCTCTCAAGGTTTTCTTCTCTGGTTTTGGGGGGTTTGATTTTGCGCGGGGGGGGGGGGAGTTTGTTTGGTTTTTGTTTGTTTTTTTTTGTTGTTTTGGTTTTGTTTTTGGGGTTTGGGTTGGGGTTTTTTTTGTTTGTTGGGGGAGGGGTTTGCTGTTGGTGTTTTTTGGGGTTTTTGTTTGTTTGGTTTGGTTTTTTTTTTTAATCTGCCCTCTTAAAACAACAGGAATGCTGGCTGGCCCTCAGCCAGCCAGAACTCAGCAAGCAGGGTAAAATTTCAGTTCAGATTTACGGGAAGGTGTTGGGAGTAAAAATCTGGTTTGGTGAGTTTAAGGCAGGGAGTAGTCCGGAGACAACCTTGCTACTGTGAGTGTGGAGAGAAAGAGAGGAGGGGGGGAGGAGGATAATAAAAACCACCCAGGCTGGAGATTAGAGACCAATTTTTCCCCTGTCCGAGTTTCAGTGCGTGTTGCTGAGCTCCCGCAGCCTTATCGAGCTTGCGGGCAGAAAGCCGGGTCTGGGGTGCTGGAGCTGCGCGGTGCCGGCAGAGAGCTCAGCTCAGCGCCCTGGAATGTGCGGCTTAGGGCAGGGGCGAGCAGGGGCTTTGGCTTAGCTGGTACTAATTGCAAGTTTTAGTGCTCAAAAACTCTGGTAAAAAAAAAAAACCGAGCAAAGAAGCAAAGAGCCAAGAGAGTGGGTTAAGATTGGGAGAGCTGTTGCTCCAAGCAGCAGGGCAAGGAGTTGCTCAACTCTCACTCAGCAGCGCGGTAGGAAGGACAATGCGTTGAGGTCGCTGCCCCAAAACGCCGCGGCCGCCGCTGCGAATGGTGCTGGGCGCTGAGGTGGGCTCCAGGTAGGTACCGCCGCTGCTCGGTTTGCTCCGCGCTTCCTCCGTCCTTGGCTGTGCGTTGGATTGTACTCACTCCTCTCTGATTGGGTTGACAATGTAATCCACCAGAAGTTCACTCAGAAAATACATTTTAAAGTATTTTTACGGGGGAAAGGCAAATGGAGAGAACCGCAGAGGTTTTCGATGGAGTTTTGGTGACTCTTTCCAATTGACAGATTTCTGGTGATTCTGAAGTAAGATGACAGGGGAGAGGCACAGGCAGGTACTAAAAAAGGACAGATCGAGAAGTGATTTGCAGATCTGAGAGATTTAATTTAAAATATGTGTTTCTCCAAGTCAAAGATAAAGCACAGCGTGACTTGCCTAATGTCTTTGGAGTCAATTTCGGAAGTAGTGTTTCGTTTCATGGCTGTTTTTTCTTTTTGAGCACTTAAAATGCTGTAATTTGTACAGACCACAGAGCCGTGGCACAAGTGACAGGGAGGTGACAAGAGGGCTCTGAGTCTGCTGTCTGCCAATCTGTTATAGACATTAGCATAAGAATGGGACCTTATCTGTGAAAAGTTTCTGAAGACCATTTAGAATACATGTATCCATCAGGAGATCAGGCATCTTCACGCTGAGATATGCGTGAGTAGATGAGAAATACTAGGGTTCATGTTAAAAGAAACAGCAGAATTTAAAGGTTTTTTAGAGGAAAGGCTGCGCAGCTCATTTCTTCTCAGGAACTTGAAATAAAACTTTGAGCAAAAGCCAATCTATTGTAATGGATAAAGATGGGCTGGGACCTTACAGGTCGCAAAATCCCTACTAAATTTTATCGGCTCGACTGAGCTGACCTGGCAGAAGGCGGGAGCAGCATTAGACGGGGCTGAAATGAGCCGCCCGAGGCTAACGCGAGCTGAGTATCGGTGCCCTGATGTGTCTCCCAGACTGTGCAAACGATAATTTGGACAAGCCTGCAATTACTCTGTCCCGGTGCTGCCGTGGTGCGCGGGGAGCGCTGCGGGGAGCGCTGGGTGCGGAGCTGCCAGGCCGGGGCAGAGGCCGCCCGCGGTGTTAAGCGGAGCCTGGTATCGTGGTGCACAGCTGGAAACCGGGAGGCAGCTGCGCTCTCCGAGAGGAGGTGGAGATAACGCCAGGAATGGGCCGCTGCCCGTGTCCGGCAGGCTCGAAGCCTACAGACCGCTGTCTGCGAGATAAACCAAGAGACAAACACTCCTCCTGCACATTCAACACTCCTCCTGCACAGTCCTTCTCCCTCCCGCCGCTCCCCTGCATATTCCCGTCCTGAGGGAGGTTGTTCTCCGGGCTCGTTTCACAGCTGTGCATCCCGAGAGCTGAGGGCGGCTGCTCCCACCTCACCTCGTAGCCCCAGCACCCTCTTGTGCTTTTGGGGTCTGACCTCTTCTGAGACACAGGCTCCGGGCCCTCAGTGTTGTTAGGGAAATATTTGGTGTTGACTGGCATTTAAATAGGGTTGCTAATAATTTCTGAGTGTCCCTACTGCAGCTGAGGATGCAAAATCTTCCCTTGAAGTTTTAGAAAACAAAAGAACGTGCTGCCTTCAACGAACAGATTTTTTTAAAGTTGAAAACATTGTAATAAAAATATTTAATATAGGCAGTGGAGATGGTGGAGCCTTCAGGGAATACTGTTTCTATGTCAGTTTGGTCTGAACCCTGGATCTTGCGTGGCCCTCACCTGGCTGGCTTCAGCAAAGCTATCCCTGGCACTGGGGTCTGCTTTTGCAGCTTCCCACATTTTGGAGTCTTGGCCTCCTCCACATGGCAGAGCCCCTCATTTTGCTACCACTCTATGAAATGCTGCACCCTCCTCTGTGAAAGCTGTGGGAGCATCTGACAGCTAGAGAGAACCAGGGATTACCTGTAGTGATGTGAGAGTACCTGTTGGGTTACCATGGGGCCCACTGCACTGCTAGGGTGACAAACTCCAGCAGAGGTGGCACCACATTTATGGGTGAAACAAAAAGGTGATCTTGGCTGATCACTTGCGTGCAGTTTCCTGAACCTGAATATTGCTATGATTTACTGAGAAATTTAGTAGGGGCAAGTATGTGCTCTTTGTGAAGAAACATGGGCAGATCCTGTTCCTGTTTAAAAAAAAATCAATTATAAATACAAAGGTGAACATAAAGATCAGGTCTGCTTTGTAGCAAGGAAGCAGATCTAACATAAAGAGTATAAAGAGACTATCTCAGTGCTTGTATATGATATATGTAGTTGCCTCTTTTGTCATGAAGTTGAAATCTCCAAATTACTGATGACTTAAACCAACAAATCCTTCCTTATATTGTAGTCACTTTGAAATTTGTTTCATAAGGGGATTTTTAGGTGCAATTTTCAAGTTTGTAAAATGGATCCCGTGAACAGGATATTTTTGTCTGCTCCCTTAGTAAGAGGGAAGGACTCTGACCTTTATCTTTCCAATATGAGGCCTAAAATAATATTTCTTTCTGCTGTAGTAATTTTTTTCAATAAAATGCTTCTGGGTACACCCAGCTCTTGCCAAGATCAGGAACATCTCAGTAGCCTTGCTGAGACAATGCAGGCATTGTATAGCTATGGCTGGTAGGGCTTTGGTGACACAGTAAACTCAACAGAGAAAAGCAACTTTTTAGAAACTGCAGAGCTGACTACCTGATACTTGAGGGCATTTTTGTCCTTTCCAGGCTTTCATTTGCCCTGATCCCAAGTAAGATTTTATTTGAAAAGAAGAAAGAGGTTTCTGATATTTATAAAGTGTGTTTTACAAAATATGCTTAGAGTTTGGATATTATCTTTTGCTTAGGTAGGTCATAAAGCTGAGACTGAGTCAGCACAGATGGGCTTATTTGCCATGAGATGGAAAGAAATTATAAAGGCATGAGAATCCTCAACCGATAACAATGCGACAACAGTAACTTCCATGTATTTCCAAAGGGAGAACAGCTTAACCAGCCTCTAACAACTGAGAGGCTTTCTTATTTGCCAATGGGAGAGCCATTGGAAGGTTTACTCTGGAAAAGCAGCACCCCGAGTGATGTAGGTCAGAGTTTGCTTTCATGTTTTGGCCTTTTGAGTACCCAATGGATGGGCTGGAGCTGTTCCGTAGAAATAAACTGAGGCACTGCTTCTGCCTTTTTGTCTTTTACCAGAGAAACTCAGCTCCACCGCAAGTCAGGGTGTGGGCTGAGTTTCAGCAAGCTGAGTTCCCAGTAACATTGAAGATGTCATTTATGATTGCTGTGTCACAGAGCTGGGATTCCTGACCTGGGCGTTTCTGCTGCGGGGAGCCGCTCACACAGGCAGAGTGGAAGGGCTGCCACTGCCAGTGGGGTTTGTGCACAGCACAGCTGCTGCTGAGAGGCAAGGGATGGGATGGGATGGATGCAGGTGGAGCACAAGGAAGTGGTGAGGGGTCAGCTGGGTACAGAGCAGAGCAGCATGCCAGCAGGCTGGCTGCTGTTGGGCTATCTCAGCAGCAAGGGAGAGATTTTAGAAGGAATTTAGGAGAGGTGAGCAAAGTTCCTCTGCAGCTGAGACCAGGGAGGCAGTCCCAGTGAGGAATTATGAAGGAAAACAGAAGGGCATATGATGAGAAGCATAAAGTGGGTGTTCATAAGCTACAAAAGACACCTGGTTATACTATTCAGCTCTGCCTGCCTAGGCAAGTATTGTGTGTAAGGACCTTCTATTTTATTTGTTAGAAGACGGAAAGAGGATCAACAGGAGCACAGAAGATGAGTGGCACATTCAAAGCTATGAAAATGGCTCTTGAAATAATATTTGGAAGATAAAACAGTGATCAAGATTGTAGATCAACAGTGGATCAAACTATGAAAGAGCAAAAAGGATTGTCACCATTAATGAGCTAATGTGGGGGTGAGACTCCAGGGAAGCATTTAAGTTTTGAGGGCAGAGAGAATAGCCAATGTCCTTGACATGA